ACAAATAAACTTTTATTATCATTAGCGAAGCTTTACATTTAATTTTATAATTTTATTTTAGTCATCACAAACTCTACTAGAGATGCGCTATGACCTTTAATTTATATAATTAATAAGCACAATACAACTTGCATATATTGTATTGATCTGCTACCAAAGTAACCCAAACACAATTACAACTGCTTACCCAATATTTTTGAAAAGCCTGTCAACAAAGTAACAGGGCGATCATTATTGCGAGATCAGATGACTTTATAACCAATCATGTTTCAGATTTTTTATGTATCCTTTATAGTAGTTCTTTGATTATTGTTGTATATTTTTTGTAGCTTGTATTAACAGATAATTTTGGATTAACATATAATTATGAGTAATTAAATTGGTGGTAGTGGTAAGAGATAATGGTTATAGCCAAGAATGAATCAGCGATGCAGGAGAATAAGACAAGAAGTATTTAAGGTCAATTGTCTTGGTAAAAAGGGTTATCTTTCTTTTTACTATTGCTCGCCTTGTGAAAGCTGGCTCTATTTCCCTCCCTTACTTACTTGAATTCAAGCAAATAGTGTTTGCTTTGTTATATTAGGCTCTATAGCTGTGCTAGCAATGCAAAGATCTGTTGTTTGGCTCCACGGCTGCAATAGCAATACAAGGATCTATTTTGTATTTGGGCTCCATGGCTGCAAATAGCAGTGCAAGGACTATAATAAAAACAATCTCTCACTTATTGACATGAGTATATGTATATACTGATTCTCTTTGCAGCTATAAAAATAGTTGATGTTTCTCTCTATATGAAAGGCATTCTGATATATGAATTGTTGTGAGCCGTCCTTTTGTTTATAGGATATGCGAAGTATTATTGGTATCCATTTCACCTACTGTTAAAGGCATTTTGATATATAAATTGTTGTAGGTTGTCACTTTGTTTGTGGGATATGTGAAGTATTATTGGTGTCTATTTCACCTACTGTTAATAATTGATATTTCTGTATTTGTGATATTGATTATGTATATTAGAGCCGCCGAAGGTAGCAAGCTCTTTATCTTATATGTTTTTCAGCTTTGATAAATAAAGTTATTCATTTTGTTAAATAAAGTCATCTGACTGAGCAATAATAAAGCTCTATAATATCAATTAATATGCAAGATATATAGTAAGTATTAAGCATATAATATTATTAAAGTAATACATGGACAAGATTTCTATACTGTTTTTCAAGATTAAAACTTACACGTAAACATTTCAATCAGCCTCTTTAATTGACCATTTTCGATATGTAAATCTTATATATAGTTAGTATAATAATAAATAGTAGAACACTTGCTTCTAAGTGAAGTTCTTGAGAATGTTGATTATTTTTTGATTATTTTTCATAATAAAAATAAGTGTTTTTTTAAAGCTAGAAATAGTCTTTATGGTGATTTTTTATTAGTGAAGCATTATATCTGTATAAATAAGTTATCCAGGCAATTGATTCATCAGCCAATCATATAAATATCAGCCTGTTGTAAGCTTTTAAATATGTACACAATATCAGATTAAGCCTAAACTATAGGCAATTACAGATTTTATCGTACATTTCTGAAAGTATCAAAAATTTCAGAAATTTTCAGAAATTTGTATAATTGGCGAAATTAATATCATCCCTATTTCAGATTCAGATTTGGCAAAATATTTGGTTTTGCCCAAAACATTAGCAAGCTCTATTATTATCGCTTCTTCAATAACTGTTTCTGTTATGAGATCTACTTCTATTGCAACTTCTATCTTGATTATAGTTATCTTAACTATAATTTTCTCAACTACGAAGGCGAGCTATGTAATCTTGCTCATTCTTCTTTATTTGCACCCATGTAGATCTATTCTTTTTTGAAGTCAACCTACCAGTATGGCTCTATGATGCCAGCCCAAATTTGTGAAAACCGTTCCTTTTGTGTTAGCATCACTTCTCTGAGAAGTGTCTATATTAGAAGGTCAAGTCTAGATTGATTGAAGTATTATATTGATAGTTATTAGAAGAGTGAGTGGGACATTGATCCTGGTCTTTTTTTCAGGTATTAAAATTTGCAATAAAATATTCAGTATAGCTACAATAATATTAGGCAGGAGGCTGCTTGATTTTTCATGCTGGCTGGGGTGCATCTGTATAGTTGACAGAGGCTGTGGGGGCTGGTTGTTTAGCAGTGAGATTAATGCTAAGTTGGGCAATCTGCTCAGTCAATTGCTTAATTGCCTAATTTGTATCAGAAGTAGATTTTGACATAACATGTCCTGTTTCTCATTGTTGTATAGCAGTGATAGCTTCATTTAAATTGGCAGGCTCAGTGGCTTGTACTAAAATTCCATACTTAGGCTAGAGACCTTGAATAAAGAGTTGAGTAATAAAGGTTGTAAGGAAAACTTTAGTGGAATCTACTCTTTTCTTTAATTTCTGAAATTTGCCAATATAGGCATTTACAGTATCTGTGCCTTGCTTAATGTCAAAGAGTTGTTTTTGCCAGAGAGCTTTTTGTTGAGCAGTGCTAAATCAGACAAAAAAAA